TGTCACGAGAGAAGAAACTAAACCTTGCAAAAGGAAAAAAAAATGGGGTGGGGGGGAGATACCACGCAGGTTAAGACCTTGAAGTTTAGAGCAGAAAAAGTGCAGACAGTTTGAAGCAACACAAAATACACGACCAAAGGCTAAGAGCGCAGGCAAAAGTGCGCAGACTGTTTCCGGTAACACTCACTTATTTGGGGATCCAACCCTGTGAACCCAGAGAAGGCGAAAGCTACTATGTCTTGACTCATTGTCTTATAAGGGATTGCTTTCTGCTTCTACGGGAACTGAACTCAACTAAAAGTGAGCAACTGTGGAGGGTAATTCATACTGCAATTATAAATTATAATGTGCTGACTGTGTTGGGGAGAGGGCAGTTTCTGTATGACCTGCTATTAACGCATTCATCAATATTCATTAATGTTATTAATTAAAAAGGTCAAATTCTGTCTAGCCCCAAACAGCATGATTTTAATAATGCCAGCCACTTGAAAGCTCTTTGCGGACTGTCTGTCAATCTCAGAAGCTAGGGCCCAAAACACATGGCAGAAATAATCCCACTCTGACACCACTTTAACTGCCCTGGCTCAGTGCTAGGGGATTTGGGGAATTATAGTTTGTTGTGGCACCAGAGTTCTCTGACAGAGAAGGCGAAATATCTCACACAACTACAATTCCCAGAATCCCCTAGCACTGAGCCAGGGCAGATAAAATGGTGTGAAACTGGATCATTTCTGCAGTGTGTTTTGGCACAGAGAGTCAAATACCCAGCTCACCCTTTGAGTCAATTAATAGCCTTGTACAAGCTGATTTTATCAAGACCCCAATAAATTCAACAGCTCCAGTAGTTTCCCTTATAGATTTTAGAGTAGGAGGTGGGTTGGAATCATGCCTTAATCCCCTCATTTTCAAAAAACTAGTATGCAGCAATCAAGACAAACTGGATCGCCTTTTGTCTTGCTAATGAAATGTAAAGTTTACTACCTGAACTGAATCTCCCAGCAGCCACAGGGCCAGAAGGAGAAGGGGCCCACCTGCATGCATACCCTTCCATACCATCTGAACTGAGGACAACCACAACATCTTGACCAAATGCAGGGCTATAACTAACATCATCGTTCCCCCCCCCTTTCTTCCTCCTGCATGATTTTTAACACTGTTGCCTGATGAAGAAGCCAGTGAAGCTTTGAAAGCTTGCAACATGTATAATGTGCATCTTCCTTGGCCCTATAAAGGTATCACTTTTGTGGATTTTGGATGGTACTGTACTTTGCTATATGGCCAACGTGGCTACCCTGTATATGTTTTCTAGGCATGCAGCATGGAGAGGATAAAATCACAAGCCTAAAGCGTTGGAGCCTAAAAACTAGCCACTCAGCATTTGAAGCAGTGTAGGGTTATATGGTTAGTAGTCTCACGGTGCAATCCTATGCCTGCCTACTCAGAGGTAGCATCCACTTCGTTCAGTGAATATTGCATTGCAATCTCAATTGCTTTGATTTTACATTGGCACAGCAAAGCATCCAGTTGTCTTCTCTGAGATAGCTGCAGGTAAAATAACCCCTGAATTCAGAATACAGAAAGGAGGACAGGGTACATCCATGGTGTAGTCACCCAAGCTTCTAAAAAGTTGACATTTTTTTCCTTTCATTCCATTGTGGAACAGTTTTTAGGCATTTTAACTGTGCAGTCATCCCAAGCTGCCCATTTTGGCAGTACATATTCACTCCTCTTTCAGCATCTGATACTAACTTCAGCCTAACCACAAACTGAGATGTAATATGATGGGCTAGGCCAGCATTTGAGATTGGTCAGTTTAGCAGTACTACATGAAGTATTTAACCTGAAGCGAATAAAATAATGTGATTTAAAAAAGAATCTTCTGCAATCTGTCAGTAGGCAGGCATTGAAAAGCAGGATTAAACTGCATCAATGATTAATACGCTCCTATATAATATAAGCCATCAACAGGCTCATCTTTATCTGAAAAACATATATACACACACACAACCCTCCATGACTGGTAGACCATTCCTGGTATTAGGGAATGTCAAAACACATTTTCACTCTTGAAGGGAAAGTCTGTCATAAAACGTTAATCAAGAGTGTAAAGACGGCTAGAGAGCCAGAGTGATGAAGTGGTTTGAGTGTTAGACTACCACTCTGGAGACTTGGGTTCAAATCCCTGCTCAGCCATGAAACCCACCAGGTGACCTTGGGCAAGTCACACTCTCTCAGCCTAAGGTTGGTGAGGCCAAAAAGACAAAGGAGTGGCCTAAGTATCATTTGAATCATCTGACCATATATCTGCTTATGAATGTCAAATTGATGTTAGTGGCCAGGAGGAGTACCAGATTAGACAAAAGTGCAACAGAACATGGACTTCTCCAAAATTAAGGGGGCATAGCATGCAGCAAAGGTGCATTCTGATTGGCCACTTTTTAAAAAGAAAATAAAAAGAAAATGTTTATGATCCCACAATCAGCCAATGAGAATACAACCAGGGTTAACGTGAAGAAGAGCAGCATATCATGCGCAAAATAGGGGACCCAAAACTCCACAGTAACCAATTAAAAAAATAAATGAAAATTTCCTACAAGGGACATAAGTCTTCTTATTGGCTGCAATGTGGGATCATCGGGGATCAGTCCGGCAGCTACCATGGGCATTATAGCTGTAAAGATCCTGGTTGGGAAAGTACAAACATACACACACAAAAGATATGAGACTTAAGTAAGACAGGAAAGGTATTCAAATTCACATACACACCAAGGAGTGAAGGAAGGAAGGAAGGAAGGAAGAAAAAAAAAAAAAGGAGAAACATAGGAGTTAAGTGAGGAGTATTTCACACAGGAATGTACAGTGGGCCCTTGGTATCCACTGGGGTTTGGTTCCAGGACCTTCGTGGATACCAAAAATTGTTGATGCTCAATTCCCATTAAATACAATGGCACAGTGAAAGAGTGTCCCTAATAGCAAATAGCAAAAATCAAGGTGTGCTTTTTGGAATTTATATATTTTCTGACAGTTTTCCAGCCATGGATTAAAAAAGTCCATGGATACAGAGGGCCAACTGTATTATCACAAGGCTTGGGAAAATATTCTATATTATTGACCCTCCAAATGTTTTGAACTTCAGCTCTCAAAAGCCCCAACCAGCATGGCCGATGGTCTGGGATTCGGGACATTCTGGGAGTCTGAAGGTGCCTCTGAACCTCAGATAGCCCTGCTAAAGGCTGCTGGTCTGCTAAGACAGCCTGTTTTAGCAAAGGAAGGTGTATAAAGGCTCAGTATAAAGGTGTATAAAGGCTTGGATTTGTGGGAAGAGAAAAGCCATAGAAGTATTAACTGCATTTCTGAAACATGCTGAGCCCAATAAAAGATTCTAGGGCAGGTGTGGGCAGTCCTGGGAGGCATGCAGCCTCCAAGGTTGCTTTTGTTGTTCCACCTCTGGATTCCTGTGGCTTGCCCTTTTTCTGGCCAAAAAAGAGGTTGAACTGCCTCTCCTATAAACCTCCAGGAGCAGTGATTCACCTTTCAAACAGAAACCTATACGCCATTTAATTAGTTTTTAAAATTTAATTCTTTTTTAAATTCTTTTTTTAAATGCCCG